TGTGGAAGCTTCTTTTTCATTCAGAATCACATACAAGGATGCACTAAAAACTTGACCGTCCTCTATTAGTGAACACTGTTCAGCTGGTAGGGCATTCCACCTTTCCATTTATAAATGTGAGTGTGAAACTGTGAGCGGTCCAAGGGCCTTAAACTCGACTTCTGACTTCAGGCAAAGGACGCTTTTTAGATCCCACACTGCAGGTAGAGCAATGTATTGGTGTGAAAGACAGCCAGGCCTCGCACACAGGAGAGGCAGCTGCCAACTCCATATACAAAAGAAAATCAAACTGTAGGAAGTGGGGGTCTTATGATGCATCATGGAAATGTGAACATTGATGGTCTCCAAGATATTAACACACTGAGATCCCACACTGCAGGTAGAGCAATGTATTGGTGTGAAAGACAGCCAGGCCTCGCATCCTCTGCCAGTAACACCAGCTGACTAAAGCCACTGATTTGAACAAATCAATCAGTTGCTTGAAAATATACATAAGATTAGATAGATAGATAGAAATAGATAATAGATATGGATACCTGTGTTTTAAAATATTGTAAGACACTGAGTAGATTTTGAATAACTAGAGGCCCCCGGGTTCTCCTTGCCTCTGTTACACATATTCCATTTGTAGCTTTACGTTTTTGCATGAAGAGAAATAGAATACAGAGTAGAATACAGCTCCCTCCCTGCTGTAAAGTCAGCTCCCTGAGCCTGGTCACTCTCCAGTGAGGATGACATGCAGGCCTAGCTAAGCAATAAATCATAAAACGATCCTCCTGCAGGTTCAGCTGCAATTGTTTTCATCTCCTCTTTTTTAAACACGTCTTTTAATGGCATCTCCCTGCTTCTCCCTTAGGAAATGATTTCATGGCATAATTGCCCTTGCTTCGAGTGAAATTTTCTTAATGTCCAATTTAAATTGCTGCTTTTTCAGTCGCAGGCCATTGCTCTCTATTACACTGCTATTAGGCACCTTAAGTAACTCCTCTCTCTTTTGAAAAGGATGAAATTGGCTTGTGCATCTCATTGGAAAATGTGGCCTCATTCTTATAGACTAAAACTTTAAAACACTTGGAAAAGACAGGTAGATCGTGCCATTTCTTCAAACAAACTGGCGATTTTCCTGTGTCTGTTTTTCATCAGCTTAGAAACAATTCATGGGACTGAGTTATTTGTGTCAAATAATCCAGACTGTGCTATGTACCTGGTGTTTCTTCCAATGTCCCTGTAATGGAAAGGGAAGCACACTCATATTTCTTCAGGGAAACGTGAACCTGCATTAGCCGTCTTTTACACAAAAGGGGAGAACACATTTGCACAGACAGAGGTGTCTACTGACTTTCTTGCTTAAGATCCCAGGAGAGGCAGCTGCCAACTCCATATACAAAAGAAATCAAACTATAGGAAGTGGGGGTCTTATGATGCATCATGGCAGTGTGAACATTGATGGTCTCCAAGATATTAACACACTGAAAACTTTGGGGAAACGGAGGAAGCAGTATGGCCCTAACTTGCCACCACCATTAGCCAGAAGTATTTTCTAGGGCCATTCATAGGGGGCCACTGGATCTTTTAGCAAGAAAGTGAATCGAAACTTTCCAATAAGCTGCTCTATTTTGAATACCAGGCCCTCTATCTCTCTCTGCCCTATTTTCTCCCTTCCCACCCCTGCAAAGCCTCCAGTCCCCTCTCTGTACCTGACACTGAAGGAGTGAAGCTGTGAGCACTCAGAACGACTCTCCTCCAACCAGACGCTGCCGGTCTGGGCCTGTGCCTCACCGTGGATCCCTGCTGGGTTTGTTCCGTGACTGTCTATCCAATCCAGTTGCAGTGTTCACCCCTATTCAGATTCATGTCTTCCCCTGTTTGCTCAATTTCTGACCTCGCTCCTCTCCTTCTGTGCCAACACGGAGAGTAAAATGGAATAAAGCAGCAAAACAAAACCAATCAAATAACAAACACAAGCATCCCGGCGCTCCCTGCGCTTCTGGTGAATATCCTGTTAGAGAAGTCGGCCTCATGCCCAATGGAAGAATCAGATCTGTGTGAGGACATCAATCAGGAAGTGATTCCTCTACAGGAGATTATCAGATGCCTCTCACCCCCGCTGTGTGCACACAATGCCTAGAGCAGGAGGACCCGCTCAAAGAGGGAGATGCTCTTGCCACTGATAGCACAAAATAGTGGCAAATCGTTTTGTAGGGAAGATGGGAGGTCGCAACACCCCACAGAAAACGCGTGATACAGGTTTGAACTTGAGACAAACACTGAAGTTGAGAACTGTAGGAAAATAATCTCAAAGCTCTGAAGAGAATAACTTTCTTGGTAGAGAGAGCTTGGGGCAAAATCACATGGGAAGAAGCAAGGATTTCTGGTCTTGTGTAGAAGTGGCATCCACAAGGGTACAGAAAACAATTTTATTTTTTTCTGAGGCATAATGAATAAGAGTTCTCACCTTTTTTTAAAAAAAGAAGAGGGAATAGGAAGTTGATATCAGATTTCACTGCATATTGTATATTGATACCAAATATACTGTGATGGGGACTTGGCAGCCTTCCCATGCTGTCTCCAACTTCGGCTCAGTCTTCGTTTGTTTTACCCTGACAGGTTATAGTAACCATGCCTTGTAATGCAGCCTAAGATAGGGCACTTACATGCAGGCGTTTCTGTCCAAGAGGCAAAAACAAGATACACACCGCTAAAGCTTTGCCATGCATGCAGTGAATTGCTAAGAGTTAAGACTTAGAAGCTAGTACTGGCTCTGACTTATTCCAACCATGCCGTAGCTGCAGCTCAGTGCCAGACCTTAACTATCGTGTTCACCCCCAGTTGCCGAGGGAAGAGCCTTTTCAACTCTAATCCATCCTACTTCTTGAGGCCCATACTTCTTTATAAACTGTGGCTGAGATCATAATTACCTTTCATTCAAACATCTTCAGAAGCTTCTGTTCGCCTGTTAACTCTTTGGCTTTCAAGGTCATGCCAACCAGGCCCATTATGAATTTCCAAATACTCATCCTGTCCCCTCCTTCTATCTAGTCACCTCCTACTCCAATCTACCTGAATTATGATGCTCATGTTTCCTGCTTCTTTCCTTTTCTTTCGGGCATTTTTCTTGCCTTGGACTATAACTCTTCCACCATCATGTCTGCATGCCCAAATTTCATCGGTGTGGTAACAAGCCTCAAAAAACCACAGCCAAAAACCATCTGCTCCTTCTCTAAAAAAAAACCTATCTTTAACATGTATTTTTCACATGAGACCTGTGACTAATTTCCTATATTTTTAGTGATTTATAGACTGCTATAGTTAATTCTGAAAGCTCATAAACTTCCTACGAGCAGGGGCTTCACCAACTGTGGCTCAAGGTCTGGAAATTAGTAGGTGTGCAATAAATGAATGCATAAGTCCCCCATCCCTGTCATACTCACATAGAGTGTACAGAATCATTAGAGATACCTATACTTATATATAGAGAGAGCTATTACTATAGTTTGAGATATAAGTATAAATACCAAGTTCTTCAATGTTAATAATTTTGAAAATAAGAGTCTAGAAATATTGGCAATATGGCATACCTTCTAGGTTTACACATTCATGGAGGAAGTGTGCACTCAGTCACCAAAAGCTATCGGAAGTAGGGTTGTGATATTGCATTTTTATATATAACATGGCTTCTATAGAAATAAAGTAACTAAACTTGCACTCTTGTTTTGCGACTCTCTACTATGATTTTTAAAAATCTTCTTCATGATATTAGTCTTCTGATATAGTCTGTGATAAATGGATAGTGTGTTCAATTAAGTTGAGGAACTGTACACATTTTGTCTCCCTCTTGGAAATTCATGATATAAACTGATAGATTAAAGGCTTGCATAAATCAGAAGGTTTTTTAAAAGATCATTTAACCTTCATCAACCATGTCTCCCAATTATAATTGTCTATGGTCTTTTTCATATAACAACTACAAGTATCCTAAGAAAGGAGTCTTCCATGGAAATAAAGCGTGTCCCAAAAATCACGCAAGAAGTAATTTTGATAGAAAATATAGGTTTATAAAGAAAAATTGTAAATTTTTTATTGATTCATAAAGTATACAGTATAGGGTTATGTATGGAATAGGATATTGGGTAAATGGCCTCCACAGCTTTCTGGCACATACGCACTCTTTTGTTACTGCCTGAGCAGCCGCATTTTTGAAGAACGATGGTCCCATGATGCCTCCAGCCCCAAATCCGCACCAAACAGTGATACACTGTGGATGCATTTGTTTCTCAACAATCACTTGTGGATTTTCTGAACCCCAAATGCGACCATTTTGTCGATTAACCAAGCCATCAAGATGAAAATGAGCCTCATCGAAATTCAGCCACATTTATGCAAAAACGGTCATGGAAAATTTCAACAAAAAGTGTGTATGTGCCAGCAAAGCTGTGGAGGCCATTTACCCGATATGCTATGCTATTCCATACATAACCCTATACTGTATACTTTATGAATCAATAAAGAATTCATAACTTTTAATTATAAACTTGTGTTTCCTATCAAAATTACTTCCTGTGTAAATTTTGGGACACCCTTTAATTGAGAAACTGCTATTCTAGGATATTACTTATATATTACTTAGGAAGCCCAAATAATTTGTTTCAATTTCAGCTGTAAATGACCAAGTTGGCTGTGATGCTAAGTGGGGATTATCCAGATATACTTTGCACATCCCTCTTATTGGTGATAATAGTTTTTAGGCAGAGAGTATTAAATAACAAAGCTACTAGTCAGGTGCTATGAAAGTAAAGCAAAAGCTCTGGGATTTTATTCCTATAAAACCTATCAGTGGGCCAAAGCTGACATTCAAAGTTCTGTTATGATTTGTCAAGTCAATCTTAATTGCAGAATCTATAGGAGAGTACATGTTTTGGAATTAGACAGAAAGAAGGCTCTTTTACTTTTTATTTTATTTAAAACATTTTTATTGATTGATTTTTAGATAGAGGAAGGGAGAGAGAGAAAGAAACATCGATTTGTTGTTCACTTATTTATGCATTCCTTGTTGATTCTTGTCTGCACCCTTACCCGAGATCGAACCCACAACGTCGGTGTGCTGGGACAGTGCTCTAACCAATCAAGCTACCTGGCCAGTGCCTGGAACAAGCCTCTTTAAAGAAGTTTTTGCCAATGTTCTCAATCTTTGTGACTAAATGATTGCTATATTTTACCTTATTCAGTTACTGGGACAAACATCAGCCTCTGAGTCAAATACGAGTGGCAGGTGACATCATATGACCCAATATAATCAATGGAATTAGAGCATCCCTTTCTAATTTCCCCTTAAGAGAAGAAATCTTATTTTCCAGGTAGATGGAACTTGAATGAAGGTAAAACAGGGTTTGATATAGGACTGCTGTTACCAAGACACTCAGGTTTTCCTAACTGGGGAAGAATAGCTACATGTATTCAATAGGCCTAATACTAAAACCAAGGTATGTATTTCAAAAATGTGAAGTCAACAAATGGATGAAATAGATGCCATCTAACTGCTGGGACCCCTGTCGTATGAGGACAAGGGATTGCAGTTGGCTAAGTGTTTGCCTACAATGTGATTCCAGTTCACTTACAAACCCCTGGAACATCTGTTCCGTGCCTTATTCATGAAATAGAGCTCAAAGGGGAAACCAGTGACATATAAGCAAACACATATTGGAAGAGAGAGTGAACCAAACTGGTGGTAAAAACATGACCTTCCTCCATAAGGTCAAATAGTTTTATTTTTGATTGAACACTACAATACAGTATATATCCATTAAAAAAAGAAAACTCTATAGTGTATATAAATTATTCCTTCCAGTCATCAATTCTTTGCTTTTCCATTACAGCTTTGGTACAATATGAGTTCAGTATATAATTTTTAAATACTTTTAGCATCACAAACTCAACACAAAGTACAAAACTAATAATCCAAATTAGGGATATTATGGTCTACACAGTGGTATTCAGTGGTAGGAGAAAATCTTACCTTGATGAATTCATGTCACTAGCTAAGCTATAAAGGCATACCTAGCAGACATGACAGAAATATGCACCATTAACCAGCTAATGTGTGTATTAGTCTTTGTTTTTGTTTTTGTTTTTTTTTACAGAATACCAGCAGCAATCATTTGAGTGTTGAGTGAATAGTTAAGTCCTCAGTCAGTTTTCCCATTTTTGCTCCTCTTCTCATAAAGGCCATGAGTAATATCTGAAGAAATGTACCACAGCCAGAGCGCTCAGAATTTGACCTGCCACCCGGCATTGCTCATACTCGCACAGTTTGTCCTGCAGCTAGCTGACATCACGGGGACAGTGCTGGAGGGACAGTGTGGGCCAATCAGCCGAAGGTTGTTCTGAGGGGTCGGTGGTGTGACGTTACAGTAAACAGGCATTCCAGTGGCTGGGAGTGACCCTTGACCTGTCTGGTTAGGTAGCATGATTGGCTGTTGGTATGACTGCTGGGGCAGTCCTTGAGAACCCTGGGTCATTGGCACCTGCAGAAAGACACAAGAGAGAACTGTCCGTGAAGAGGTTATTTTGGGGTGTGCAACGAGATACTGTGATGTGAAAAATGTTCAAGTTTTTGGGTTCACGAATCTCAGCTCTACCTTTTATTTGCTGTTTCACATTGGACAAGTCACTTAACCTCTCTGATTTCCTAGACCATTTGCATAATGTCAGGTACTTCAAGTGCCACCTAGGGGATTGCAAGGATGATGTACGATGCTTGGTACATGTCTGGCATGCAGAAGACGTGCAGAGCTGTTAGTTCTGAGCTTCTGTCCTCTCTCTTGTTACCGACCTGGGACAGCACTCTGGACCTCCATTCTGGATTTTTCTGTTGGGAAAGCCATTGCTCCTGTTCTGGTATTACGCAAAGTGACCTAGAGCCAACTGGAGCAAGAGGGGCTTCTGTCCCAGGCACCTAAGTCCCTCTCAGCTTTAGAGAACATCTAACATGGACCTGGAGGTAGACATTGACACAGTGTAAGGACTGTAAGGGCAGGAGGGCTGAGGATAGATTCTTCAGGGCCAGAAGTACCTGGTTACTTGGTGCAGCTAAACACAATGATTAAAGCATTTTACTACCCTTCACTTCCTCTTCTAGAGTGCATAACACTACGGAAAATGCAGTTGTTAGGCTCCATAAATGTTCTTTGAATGAATCTGAGATGCCATTTTAAAATCTCATAACTTATAATTGTGGTAAAATGAAGTTTTGGGGGAGTATGCAAAAAAGAATGGTAATTTGAGGGCTTTCTCTCAATGAGCAACATTTCTATAGAATGCCTAAAGGTCTTCATCAACAGAAGTTTGGACTAAAGACTTTTCTTGCATGAATAGAAAGTTTATATGGAACCACACTGGCACATGCCACAGTAATTATAGAAGCAAGCATTTCCCATGTTCTATTCGTCTGTTATAACCTTGACTCAAAGTCAACCATGAATAGTGGCTGTGCCTAGCACCCACCCAGCATGGGGGTGTACCCACAGCCTGTTGTTTGGCCAGTGCTATGTTATAACCCTACTGATATGCACCTGATAAGAAGACATTGTTGGGTAGGAGACCATCACACTTTGCACCGGAGTTCCTGGTTGGTTGCTCATGACGCTCTGACTCTGAGCCTGCTGCACTCCCATCAGGCCTTGGAACCCCTGTTGACCAGACAAGACGGGCTGGTAACCTGCAAAGGAAAACCACCTTTTGAACTGGTTGTGCCAGGAAAAACACAAGTGATATTTGGTGGGGTGAGAGCATTTGTTTACAAGCCAACCTTCAGACATCTCCATCTCCACATTAGGAAAGTGTTATCCAAATGCTTGCTTTGTAAGAATGCTTTTTTTGGGTGGGGGTTCTAAGAGGGGACAAGAGTATGGCTCTCCAAAATTGACTGATATTTCCATCTTTATGCAGAATAATCCAATGAGCATGTTGTGCCAATGGTAAATTCATGACAAACATAGGCACCTCTATTGACATAAGTTGACAGATATAATTTATATCTTTCCTATGTCTTTTGCTTTGGTTTTGATGATATTTGGAGAATTCACAGATTATCAAGTTCTTTTCTAATTAAATTGACACACACTTTACTTTTTCACCTTTCTGCATAACCTCATGTCACCCCGAGGGCACCAAACATACATTCTACTTTCTGTGTCCTCATGAACAAAACGATTCCCTCCCTGACTGATTCGATGTCCTTTTCCTTAGACAAAAGACCACAATAGCAAGTGAAAGGAACTGCATGTTTTTGTTCTGTGAGAACATTCTGGTAAAACACTCCAATATGTGACCACGTACATGTAACAGATGATCCAGAAGGCAACATGTAAAAATTTTATCTGTTTGTGTCCTTCTGGGTGGGTAATTGAGTTTCTTTTCTTTTGGTGGGCCAGCATTTATGTTCTAATTATTTTAATCACCGCAACAAGTAGTTTAAGTATTCTTAAAGGAAGGCTGTGAACTGTTCTTGTACATGTTGGGGAAAAGTGACGATTTAGGTGAAATGTTATGGTGGCAGAGAAATGAAACAAATTTGCTTCCTGCTGTCAACAAGGTCCTTCCAGAGCCCAAGTTATTAAATGCACTGAGTACCTAGGAATCAGTGCAGCTTCTCTCTCTCTCTTTTTAATCTTTATTGTTGAAAGTATTACAGTTGCACCCCTTTATCCCGCATTTACCTCCTCCACTCCACACCCGTCTCCTCAACCCCCAGACCTTCACCACACTATTGTCTGTGTCCATGGGTTATGCACATTTGTATACAAGTTCTTTGGTTAATCTCTATCCACCCACCCACGCACCCCTGCCTTCCCCCTGAGATTCATCAGTCTGACTCTGGATCTATTTTGCTCATCAGTTCGTTTTGTTCATTAGATTCCACATATGAGTGAGATCATATGAAACTTTTCTTTCTCTGATTGGCTTATTTTGCTTAATAGTGTTCTTAGCATAATACTCTCCTGGGTCCTTCCATGCTGTCTTAAAGGGTAAGTGATCCTTCTTTTTTACAGCTGCATAGTATTCCACGGCATAATTGTACCACAGCTTTATCTACTCATCTACTGATGGGCACTTGGGCTGTTTCCAGATATTAGCTATTAGAAATTGCACTGCTATGAACATATGGGTGCATATATTCTTTCTGGTTGGTATTTTGGATTTCTTAGGATATATTCCCAGCAGTTGGGTCTCTGGGTCAAATAGCAGTTCTATATTTAACTTTTTGTGGAAACTCCATACTGTTTTTCATAGCAGCTGCACCAGTCTGCATTCCCACCGCAGCTGCTTTCTTAATACAATTCTCTGAGGGAGAATCTTTAAGATTTTAGATTTTTCTCAACATACATTAAAGTAAGTCTTACAACTAGATTTCAAAAACTGGGACAAAAGGTAAAAAAATTCCTAATCGATATGCATTATTAACAAATAATCTATATTTTGAGTGCATGTGAGAGTTTTACCTTATATTGAGGAAGGTGAAGAAGGATAAAATTATAGTATAGTCTTTATGGAGGACAATATTTTCCTATCCTTGGCCATACAAAAAAAGTATCTTCGTCCATTTTAGAAATACGTGGAAACATGAATTGCCAAGAATCACTGAGTTAGGAGGTCAGCTATATTCATCAAAGAGATGACACAAGGAGTAGTCACTCTGGACTACCAGAGAGAGAAAACTTGAGAGGCCTGCTTGTGCCCGCATTCAGTGGGTGGAACAAGTATGTAATCTAGAAAGTCATCTTTTGACTTTCTCTACATGTCCCATTGTTTTACGTTCCTATTCCTCACCTTCATTTTCATAGTTGTAATGAGTGATCTTGAAGTTTTATAAAGTCACCACATGTTAAGAATACAATTAAGAGTGGTGACCTCCCCCCCACCAGCCACACTGTGCCCACAGTACACAGTGACGGCCTTCCTTTAATGAGCTCTGCGGGTTAGACTAGTAACATCAGCTAAAATCGTTTACAGTTTATACAGCAGGGAAAAACCATCAGACTAGGAAACAAGAAATGTGACTAAGGCCATGTCACCGTCCTCACTACCTCCCAGAATGCCTCATACGCAGAGACACTTGGGAGAAATTTCTTTTAATATTAATTGCCCATAAAAAATGTCTTCTATTATTTCCCATTGTCTAGGTCTTCCACTCTAATTCATATATCTGTTGACTCTAAAAAAAAGTCTGTTGCTGTTTTACTATTTCGTTTTTACATTTCTCCTAGCCACACACCATTTATTTTTCTGGAGCTAAAAAGGTTAGCCACACCAAATTCATTGTAACAATAATTGTGAAACACAGAAAATAACTGGGTATGGTGGTGGAAAATGTAGGCCCAACAGTCTTCCTGGCCATTTAGTTCTATAGCAAAGGGTAGGCAGTGTGAACCCATTCTGAAGTCCCTGTGATGGTAAATATAATAAAGCCTTATTTCCAGATGAAGAGTCAAAGTACAGGTTGGAAATTAGAGAAATGTCCTAAATTTTTGACTTGAATTTGGTCATATGGTGAAAGGCCAGCTGGCCTCAGTGGACCTTTGGCAGAATACCCACAGCTATCATGTAGACAAAAAGAGGAGAGGACAGCATGGGAGAGAGGAAGTCAGGAGAGGTGTGTGTGTGTGGGGGGGGGGGAGTTGCTTCTATTATTTATGTATTTGCTTAGTGACTCCTCCCATCCTTTTACCGAGTTTGTTCAAAACTGAATAGAGGTGGCCTAGGAGAGAGTCACCATTATACCAGCTTTAAGCCCAAATTGGGGTGAAGAGAAAATAAGTCGTACGATAATAGAGATGTGATGACATTCAATAAACAGAATGTTCTGGAAGGCACACATCAGATAATATTCAAGGAAAGAAAAGAGCGAGGAGGTGGTGTGGCCGCTTCCCAGTAAAGGGGCAGAGTCTGTGGGAGCGCGATTCATCTTTGCCGAGAGCCCAGACCAGACGCAGAGGCTGCATGACTCCCTCCCAGGGCCCCCTCCGTCTGATGATTTGTGCACTTTAATATTCAGCTATGCATAGCAATGGGCTACCAGCTCTGCGCTGGGCTTCCCACAGTAAACACACTTAAGGCAAATAAAGATTTATGTGGGGAGCGAATGAAGCTCTACAATTTTGAAATGAAAACTTAAGTATAAAGAAAGCCCAATTTATATTCATGAATCCCATTCGTTACTCAATTTGCTCTCCGGGCAAGAGATTTACACCTGGAATGGTTTAATTGGAGGTCCCATTTCTGTAAATTATGTTACAGCAGGTAGGTAGCAGCGTGGTCCTTCAGACAGGAAGGAGGCCGTGTGGAATGTGAATCTGAGCTCTGGTCCAGAAACAAATAGAAATGCGATAGCAGTGACCTAAGAATGAACTGACAGTGTCTGCCTGGGACACAGCACACCCGAAGGCAGAGATGGCAACCTGCTTATCTCGTCTATTCAAATGAGAAATGTGTTCCGGTTTGTCAATTCTCAGCTGTGAAATGATCAGTTTTTCATATTTATTGAGGATTAGCAAGATATAATACATCTTGGGAAACAGAAACACCACCAGTATCTGCCCTGTAGGCGTGCTATGGAGACCATGAAGACATTAGTGATTTTTATTATTTCTTTCAGTCAAGATTAATTCAATTTTCAAGTCACATGCCTCCTTTATTTTCTGGCGGTAAAAAGGTTAGGAGTGGACAAATGCCTCCTAGCAAGTAGAAGAATGCATCCCCCTAAGATGGAGGAGTTATAACATTTAAAATGCCTGGGTCTCATAAATCTGAATATGTAATAGTGTTTCTACTACAATACAACCGTCATTGAATATTATTTGTAGTTTGAGTATACCTCATTAATATTCTGTCAAGGAATGTAAATTCATTGGGGATTATAAATTGGCATGAATACGATCGACATTATTTAAGCTCGTACTTTATTTGAATACTTTGTTACAGATCCAACATTTTGAAAATGAATGAAAATGACAAAGTAGTAACCTGTACTTTCAGGTTTTTGTTTCCCTGGCTGCTGGTTTTGGAGGTTGAAGATGGGGAAAGGGTGAAAGGGGACAAATATCTATAGAACAAATTAACTGAGAAGCAAGGCAGTTCTCATCACCTCCCCAACCCGCCCAGGCAGGGTAATTTTCATGTTGTGTTTATTAAGGGAAGTCTCCTTAATACGATAGAATGTCTTTGCAAATGACTGAAATTAATAACCTGCTAATATAAAAATCACTGATCTTGGGAGAGTCAAAATACAAATGTTTCTCCAAGTTCCTAAGGAATGAGCTAGCTCTTGGATTCGGAATCCAATCTCTGCTGTTTGCACATCATTTTGTGATGGGGTTGCAGTAGCTCAGCCGTGGCCTAGCTGGGGAACAATATGAAGAAGAAAAATGCTTTTCCAGGCCTGCCTCTCCCTTTGCTGACTTTTTATAGTTCCCGCATTGCGCCACTTTCCAATATCTGCCTGGTTTGTTCCTTGAATTCTATCAGTTCCTCTACACTTTCATCTCCTTTGAAGCCTTTCCGTTATAAACTAGCTAACCAGCTCTCCTCGGTGATCACTTACTCTAATCCAAACAGTGAATGAAGAGCTTTTTCCGTATTGTCACAACAATCCTGAGAGGCGGTCACTGGTACTAACCTTTTATAAAAACAAAACTGTGATTTAGAGAGATGTAGGAACTT